CGGTGCTTAAACAAATAGCTCTACACCTCTGGCCGAAATGTCCATAAAATTAAGTCTGAGTTCGAAATATATCTCATATAATGTATACACTGTCATTTCCCCACGTAAACATAACAGTCTGCAATGAAATAGTTGTCTCCTCCTGTGTGCTCCACTTCCTCCATGGCGCACCGGTAACTTTCTCAAAAAAAGTAAGTTTCCCGTGCGCACGAGATACTAACCCGTTATCCCGACTTTTTTTGTTCTCTCTTTTTTTTTTCATGTCCCCTTTAGGGGCTCCGTACAAAACACCACAACGTGAATGCATCTGTAGAGGGGATACAACGGCTTACATAAACTACATTTCCCCCCCAGCTTTTTTAAGTTTTTGGAACCAGTTGGACAATTTAATTGTGTTAACTCGACAAAAAACCGTAACCTAGTTCTCGTCGTTTTAAATATTTAAATGCATAAATGTTGCATATTATAACTTAGTGCTGCAATCTCAAAGAATGGCTTTTGTAATCAACAACCTGCTCTTTGTTAGAGTCCTGCTTTAACCCCCTCCCCTCTCTGCCCCGCCCCCCCGCCCTGCAGGTCTGCAGACAGGGAAGCTGAAGCTGCCCCTGCCTGACGGATGTCCCTCCAAAATCTACAAACTCATGGCCCGCTGCTGGGCGCTCAGCCTGAAGGAGCGCCCCTCCTTCACCGAAATCGTCCACGCCCTGGAGAGCAGCCCTCTGACAGCAAGGTCTGAGAGGACTCTCACCAACCCTGACCTCCTTTCTTTAAAAAAAATAAAGACAGGAATGCTGGAATATTAGTCTCACACATTTCAGGGAAGTGGGTTGAGGAGAAGAAACTTTTTTATTATGCATTTCAAACAGCGGGGCGTGTGGATCAGACTCCTTTATTCTACAGCAGTGGAAACACACTCACGTCTGTGTGAGCGGGTTCTTGTGAGCAGTGACGGGAGTTTGCCTTAACGCGGCAAGGACGGACCCCCCCCCCCCCCCCCAGTCCAAGCTATGGCTCCACTGCGACCCCGCCTGCCGCTCTGTCCCAGAGTTTCACAGAGCCTCACAACCTCAGTGCCTCTACCCCCCCCCCCCTCCCCCTCCACACACACCCAGACTGCTTTGTAGTACGTTTACAGCGCTCTAACTGGCTCCATCAACAGGAATCATTGTTGGACGTTTATGAAACCCCCCCCTGAAAGTTAGGTTCACTGCTCTGTCCAGGATGAAAGAATATTGAAGGAAAAGTGGGACTTCAGTGAAGCGTTTCTACTTGAACCTAAAATCCAGCTTCTATCCCCCCCAAAATGTGTGTGTGTGTGTGTGCCACTGAACTGTTCCCATGCTACAGTGTACGTTCAAAGAAGAAGAAGTGGAACAAGGTTTGCATGAAGGTCCGTCGGCTGTTACGCTTATAATTTTGCGACGTGAGGAGACTTGTGGAAAAAGAAATCTGTGTTATGGTAACACTTCAGGAACATGAACAAGAAAAGATCAAGTTTATAGCCAAGGAATATATTGAATAGATGAGATTGTGCCAGTGTGGGAGTTTTATGAGTGTGTTCTGTTTGTATTAACTTTGAGGTGCTTATTGGTCACGGCCTATGGGTAAGAACACCCGTTTTAATCACATGATCATGTTGCAGGCATGCAGCCTATCACTGTGTTTAACCTGCGACATCATTTCTTCAGAGGTCCAATCACAGTTTTCCTTTTCCGGGTCCAATTGTTTTGTGCAATGCTGCCGAGTGGACCATCACACCAGGCAATGTGTACATAATGTAGAAGCCATGCACTAACTTCACTTAAAAGAATATCCCTGTTTATCTCTATCATGTTGTGTAGTAGGACATGCAGGTGCCTGTTTATTTATAATGAAGGTCCTGTCTTTTTTTGTAACTATGTTTATAACAGAAAGGTACTTCTCTGATGTGTTCATTCAGTCCATCTCAGTTCAGCCTGGAAAGCTGAATATGTTAAAACAAAGGTCAAAAGAGTGACCCTGGCTCACCAGATCTCATTTAAGTGCCTGGTAAATGAAGGATTATCTTTACTGTTTCCCTTTTTACATTATCTAATCAAATGGCCTTTGTTTATGAACTTGTTTTTTTATACGTTGTTTTAGTGTAATGTTTTGTTTTATGAATGCTAGGGATCCACACCTAGACCTCCTTTTTTATCTGCTTCAGCAAATGTTCACAATAATCACAGATATATACTAAAGTATAATGCGGCTGTCAATAAAGGTTCACAGTGTTTTTACCCAATGTGTTGTTATTAATACTAGAGCGAAACAAATCAGCTAGTGGATCAAAATATAATTGCCAACAATTTTGATAATGATCAATAATTAGTGTAATCTTTTATGCAAAGTCAAAAAAGGCTTTCACTCGCATCTCAAAGATGGAGTTTTTTGCCATTTCTTTGTTTTTATATCAAATTAAAGAGAATATTGTTATGTTTTGGAATGACTGAAACAAGACATCTAGAGAAATAACCGTGTACATGGAGTAACTGCTAGATATGCTCACTATTTTCTGACGTTTTCTAAACAAACTTAATCCAGAAAATATTCGACAGACACATTTCAATTTGAAATAATCATTAGTTAATTGCAGTCTTAATACTGAAAATAGCAATGCATCTTCGGCAACTACATCTGTGATCTTTTTTTTCTTTTGTATGACCATTTACTTTTGAATAATTCAAACTTTATCTAGATGATAAAAAAAACACATTTAAATGCATTCTAGTCCATATTTCTGTGGTAATGCAATTGCATGCAGGGACCATTTTAAATCACTTTCATTTGAATGCATACAGAAACACTTTAAAGTAGGTATTCAGCTGCTGAAGCACATTCACTCGTCTAACAATAACTGATAAGGATTATGGGAAGCGTTAGTGTTAACCATAATGTTTGCTTCTTTCATTCAAAAACATTGCCACTTGTAAACCTGTTAAGTCTTTAAGACAGATCCGGCTTGCAGCTGTATTTCTACACAAACGAATGTGTAAAAAATAATGAAGGTGATGAAATGTTCACTCAAGTGGTATTCCACAAACAAGTCTCTGCAAGGTGATATTTAGTGTGTGTAAATAAGCCTCTAGGTACAAAGTCTCTTAGAAGTTATGGTACGGTTTTAACAAAGTGGTCGGAATACTTAACGGTAAATGCCATACATTGGGATGTATTATGTCAAATCAAGCATATGTTGCTGTAAAAGCACTATTTTCAATGTTACTGCTGAGTCCAACAGTTCTTTCTTTCACCACTAGAGGGAGGTCTACATCTTCAGTAGGTATTTTAAAATCAGATCCTGACCTAAAAGCTTGCCAAATATTTGTTCCCTTATAATTATGTTTATAGTTGAATATGCTCACATGGCCTTTTATAGATGCAAAAGAGGATAACTTGTTGTCTTAAATTACTGACAATGTTTTTACTTGCCTTGATGGATATGGCATTATTGAATTTAAATTATATTTGGTGCCCAGAGGCAAGATTTGTTGTATATCCTCAAAGATAAATCATAATGCATTTATAGTTATTAGTGGTTTGATGTTTTTTTGTCATCCAGTTTCTGTTTCCTTACTTATCTGACAAACTGAGGATACATCTTAATGAGATTCATAAAACTTAAACTCCTAGTAATAAAGTGATGTTGTGATAACAGGATTTGCACCTCAACAAGCTTTCATAGCTCTCTTATTTATATCCCACACTATGGAATAAAAATCCCCTAGCATCTTGCCAATGTTGGTTAAGAAAACCATTTTCAAATATAATAACTTTTAATTGTTTGAACCTGCCTTGAGCACCACATAAGTGGGGCTTACTGCATTATTTCAGATTTGGTAGAGTTTACAGTGATGGGAGTTAAACCCAGAAGTGTCACAAGTGGAAAAGCATGTGTAAATAATAAAATGGCTGAATTAAATGTGGCTGCTTCAGGGTTCTGGTGTTGTGTATGTGCTAACTAACTGTTATGGTGTGCTGGTACAATGTAATAGAGCAGGGCCTTATTAGTTACACCTGTGCTTGTCCTGCTACAGGTTGTATGACTAATCGAAGAAGGAAAAGCACAGGTTTTAACACTAACAATGGCTCTGTTCTATTCAAGTGTTCTGAGAGTGACAGTGATTGTGCATACACAATACCAGGACCCTGATGTCAAAGCAGCTAAATGTAATACAGACAGAATATATAATTTTTACACCTGTGCTTTTCCTGCTGTGACATACCAAAATGTCATAGGTGTCATAGGCATGTTGTGAAAACTATGCAAGTTACAATAGGTATGTGGAACTACAACTTGTTGAATGCAACTTGCATGCTTTATGTTCTTGTTATAAAGTAATTACAGGTTGTCATAGACCTTATTTAGCTGGCCAGCAAAGGGCATTTACAATTCTTGAGAAAATTATTGTGATGCATGCAGGCCCAGTCTTCAAAGTTATCTGTGTTTAATAGATAGTGTATAGGTTGTACCATATTTTCATAAAAAAGATAATGTAAAATTGCACAAACAAGGATAAAATATTAACCTAAACATGTTATCGCTAAAATAATTTGAGATCTTAAATACATTTTATAAAAACTCCACCAACAGCTTTAGCAATAGACCACTTACTTTACTTTGATAAACTCATAAAACAATCCCTTTGACAGGATAATTTCAAGTCTTTAGGCCAAATAAGATAAATAAAATTATATTTTGGCGTAAAACCCATGGGAAAACATGTTGTTTAGTATAAATGTACAATCTGCAGGGAATACAAAGTTAAATGTTTTGTTATTTTGGTGCCTCTGCCTGTCCACGGTGACGTTGTCGGTCGCGCAACCATTTTGGTATGTATTCCAATGAGCGCGCCTTATTGACCAATGGCAGCGCGCCTCAGATAAGCCTCAGCCAATCAATAGGCGACGCTGTGACTCACCAAATAAGGAGAGACAAGACCAAATAAGGAAACATTGTATCTCTTTAAAGGAGGAAAGTAGTTCCCGGATTGTAATATTACTCCGCCGTCGTAAACGTTGTTAAAAAAATACGCGTTTTTATGCGTCGCCGAACCACAAATAAATAGATATAGCGGTGTAGATGGTGTAAAGATAAGCATTTGAACGCATTCAGGCCGACACTAGCGCCATTTTTAGTTCACAGTGTGGACTACGTGACATGGCGGATCGACATCAATGGCGCACTTCGCGGTTTCCTTTTTGAGAAAGTGCTCGGAGTTTTGGAAATAGAGGAGGAGGGTGAACCAAACTGAGCCGGGGTTGAAGGGTCTTGGGGGCAGCATCACTTTTCAAAGTTTGTCTCGGTTATTTCCTGGAGTCTCCAAACCCACAAACTGGTGTGGTTTGTTTACATTTTGTGGCCCAGGCGTGTATGCGTTTTATCGGCCATTTACGAGACAACTAGCCCCAGCTCTGTTGGCTGGTGTTTTAGAGACTCGGTTCAGTGAATATAATGTTACCGAGCCGGGTTGGATCGGCACCATCTGGAAACGGCTCAGCTACAGGCAGGGGAAACACGGGACACGGTTCGGGGTTGTCGGAAGCGGGATTCGTCCCGTTTTGGTTAGAGCAGGGCAAGCTTTAGCAGGGGTCGAGAGTATCGGGAGACAGGGGGAGAGAGACGCCGTCGGGATGCTAGGGGCTAATGGGCCAGGGGGTTCGAGAAGTGTGAGACCCGGGAACGGGACCGGGGTGACCACCCTGCAGCCCGTCGTGCAGGGCAACATGGTGGGGCTAAACCAGGGAGGTATGCCTCACGGAGCCAGGTTCGATGAGAGAGATGGCGCTCCTCTGTGCAGCGGCTCGGATAATGACTCGGACTCCGGAGACGATGATGACCCAGTGGGTTCACTCGGGGACAGCAGGAGAGGGGTGAAGCGGGAGAGAGGAGAGATGGAGGCTGCAGTGTCGGGGCAGGACGTGGGCATGCCTCCCGGGGGTTACGGAATGGTGCCCGGCGGGGTCGCAGGGGCGAAGCCGGGGAAGAAAACACGTGGGCGAGTGAAGATAAAGATGGAATTTATTGACAATAAGTTAAGACGTTACACCACCTTCAGCAAGAGGAAGACCGGTATAATGAAAAAGGTGAGTCAGGTGGTTGCTTTGGGCTCTCATCCAACTACACAACATTTTATTATGAATGACACTTGAGTGTTGTTTCACCTGGATACATTGCATTCGTGAAATCAGTCATAAGGGTGAGGTTACACCTTATTATTAAAACATCCGTGGGACAGTAGGCCCTTTGCACCTGTAGTGGGCCTACATTACATGTAAGCTAGATATTATACCAAGTTATGTATTCTAAAA